TTTATACAAATCATTGATCCAATACTTTCTTTTCTTTTCCGCGATGAGATATTTTAGCATACTATTTTCAAACAATAGCAGAGAAGTAGCATTCATTTTGTTAACACTTCAAACTACGAACTGCCCTTGTTACGGACTTGCATCTAATGTAACCTCACCCTTAAGCATATTACACACAGACGCATGTCACGTATTTCATCATTATCGCATATGAAACAGTCCCAGCTTCCGTCTTTATTCGTCTGTGAACCATATAACATGGCACATCTAACCTTAAATATACAATTTACAAAATTGAAAACCTGGCAACAGCAAATAACTACCTGCATATGCCTTATAGACTGTTTGAATTAACAAGAGATTCCGCAAAAAAAAGTCGACAACATGCAAAAACGGAGACAAATTTAAGGCAGAAATTTTATAAGGCACATGTTGAAAACCGACGCTGTGCTACTGCGCCACCTAGAGCCGCTCCACAGCTGCTGAATTTATGGCTGCTAACTGCTCTCAATGAAATTGTAGAACTGCAGAAATCTTTAATTAGATGCATGGCCTTATTTGCTACAGGTACCTTAGAATGATTTTATAAAGGAATTATGCGTTCTTTAGAGTGGCGCTTCATCTAGAAATAAAAAATTCTTCAAGGTTATAAGTCTATAGAAGAATTGTATGGTATGAAAAGACCTTCAAAATGAGAAATAGATATGTGTAGTTCCCTGCAACGGCGAACTGGTTATTGCAAAAAATCGTTTATTTTGCAGAAAGGTGCATAAGAATAAATATGAAACATTAGTCAAAAGTTAAAGCCTTTATAGTGATTAACATAACAGAAAATCATCAAAAATGCTCGTAACTTTTGCAACAAATTAGATATGCAGGGTGAGTTTTAAGTATGAAATTCCTAAATATCTCCAATACTATAAAAGATAATAAAAAAGGTATTTACAAAAACTCCCACATGACAACAAACATGCATTTTCCCAAAATCGTTTCTAATTTTTTCTGAATGCATTTGAGATATGATTTCAAAATTAACTGCTCATTAACATACAAGCCACTTTTTGATCTCATACAAGGTGGCATAAATAGAATATTCATATGATTTTTTGTCTCTTATCCCCCGTTTCAACTTTGATTTTTTATGTGTGCCATTTTTTAAATTCTAATTCCAAATATAGCATCTCATACATTAATATTTGACAACTATATTTATTTAAAAAAAAAACGAATTTTCTGAAGTAAGCATTAAAATTATCATAAATAATAGTCATTTATTTCATAGGATATCAAAGATGATATCATGTTACGGCTTTCAACTAATCCTTATAATTTATCATCTAATAGATTCAGCTAATGGAGAACTCTGTACATGAACAATACAAATTTAAAAAAAAATGTCCACTTCATTTATTTTTTGTCTAGTTAGATGGAAGGGGCCAGCTGTCCCCCCTGTGTACGCGTATGTAAAGTATCTGTAAAGAATATGAAAACAAAATAAGCCATTCTTAGTTGACACTGAAAACCCAAATACCGTATACTCAACTACCTTTTTGAAATCAGTATCAATTCACCAAAGTACACTGGCCTTTCATGAAACATTTATCCTATATGAGTTACAAACTATTTTCCTAATCTACCTGAAACACACCACTTCCCCTCCTTTGGGGGTACCGTCCCTTACTATTTGTACAGGTAGCCAATGATGATGGCCGGGTTATAATTATTTTGCATATATTTTCCGAGAAATTGAACTGTACTTATTACCTGACTTTGGGACATTTAATAATTTCATGAATAAGTAAGATTTTACCACAAACATAGTTCAGTATTCTTGGGTCATTCGCTGTGAGCACACGGTGGTAGGAACTAAATCAATCGCCGACGACCTAGAATAAAAGGGAAATATTATCTGACAGCGGAATACTGACGCAGCCACTATGACGAAGACTGTGCATCTTGGTACATTGAGAGGAATAAAATTAGCTAGACGCGCAAGTAAACAAAGGCAAGTTTGTAAACGTAACATATCGTAGAGAAACACATTTAAACACGAATTTCTTTTTCATATCGAATAGGTTTTAATAGATGGATTTACTTTACTATGCAAAGGGTGAAAGAGCTTTGTAGCTTTTGAAAATAGATCCATTGGAAATGGCTATTTTAATTGATTTATATTTTTTTCATAATTAAAGGGATGAAGCAGAAAAACAATATTTCGGAACGAAATGAAAGAATCCGTTCGAACAACCGCACTACACTATAGGGTGTTTCAGTTTATTGTTGCATAACTTTAAGATTCGATAGAACTTTTAAAATTAATGCATAAAGTCTATATAAACATGGGTCGAAAAATGCGTGGCTTCCGAAATACAGGGTGTTTAAATTTACTTTCTAAAATAGTTTTTTTCAAATATTTCGAACAATATTTGATGTATAACAGTGAAAATTGGTATACAAGGGTTTTTTGGTACGACAAAACGAACCATGGGCATAGTTTTACTGTAGCCGCTAGCGGGCGCTCTCTACTGTACCTGTAGTGTATTAAAATGACCGAAATTTTTTGGTTTTTGAATAAAAAAACTGATTCTTCGCACTTTTCAACATAAAAAAGCTCTCCTGTGAGTTTTCGTTATAGTTAGCCGTTTTTAAGATATTTCGATTTTTAAGGTTCGATGCATTTTTAATTATTTATGGGAAAATAATTTTTTTTTGCATTTTCGATTTGGGATTACAAGTAATTAAGATGATCGTTTAGATTGTGTTTTTAAACACAGCAATAATTCCTAACTCCAAACAAACACAAAAAACAGAATATTAATTTGTTTAATTTTCCAATATTATTTTTAACAAATTAAATTAATTATTTACAACTAAAATGCTATTGGATAGTTAGGACAAACATACAAAATCTAAAGTAGTTGCTCGAAATGTAAACCCAATTGTTCAATACACAATTCACATCTACGAATGATCGAACGTGGTATAGCATTATTCAAATAAGGCCTTATTTCATCACATGTATTCCTGATTCTGTCTATTAGCATATCTCTTGTGGTTACGGGAGTCTGGTACACTTTTTATTTTAGAAATCCCCACACAAAGAAATGTAATGGATTTAGGTCAGGGGATCGTGGAGGCCAGGCGACTGGTCCTCCACGGCCGATCCATCTTTCTGGATAATTTTCGTCCAGCCAGTTTCTAACTATTCTCGAATAATGAGCTGGACAACCATCAAGCTGGAACCAGGTCAATCTTCTTAAATCTAACAAAACATCATCCCACATATTTGCATGTTCAGCCTTTAAAAATTCCAAGAAGGTCGCAGCATTTAACCTTGCAGGCAAAAGGTAGGGTCCAAATAGTCGATTACGGTAGATACCAATCCACACGTTCACACTAAATTCATGCTGAAAATTTCTTTCCCGAACTGCATGCGGATTTTCATGCGACCAAATATGTTGATTATGAAAATTTACCACTCCACGTCTAGTGAAGCATAACTCATCGGTCCATAAAACGTTACTTAAAAACTCCCTATTATTATCAGTTCTATCAAGAATCCACTGACAAAATGTGATTCCTCGTTTTCCGTCCCCTGGCTGTAGTCCTTGCACAGGTTGCAAATGGTAAGGACGTCTATGGTCATTTCTAAGAACACGGTGAACTTGGCTTGCTGAAATTCCCAAGGCACCAGAAACTCTCCTAACAATTGTGGTCGGATCTCTATCAAACTCACCCAGAATCATACGGGTAAATCTGCGCTGACGAACATTTATGTTTTGATCCCTTTGGAGATTTCCAAAACCATTTTCAATTATTTGGCGATGCACTCTTACAAATACTGAGCGAGTTGGATGTCGTCTGTTTGGAAATCTTCGTGCGTATTCTCTGGCTGCTTCTGCTGCGTTTCCATTTACAAAGCCATACACAAAATGAATATCCGCTAACTCTTGATTGGAGAATATAAATGGCATTTTTATAAAACTTACAAAAAAAACAGGTAAAAGAAACTAAATTTCGTGCATTCACAATTGCGAAAAAACGTTTCAGGTTTCAACAGACAACAAAACTAACTGTCAACTAATTGACGTTTAACCTTATTCTGCTTTCAATTTCAAAAATATTTGCAGGCACAGCCTACTTCTAAAAATTATCGAGATACTGACTTTTTAACGTTATTTTAACATAAATAATTAAAAATGCAACGAACCTTAAACATCGAAATATCTCAAAAACGGCTAACTATAACGAAAACTCACAACAGAGTTTTTTATGTTTTAAAGGGCGAAGAATCAGTTTTTTTTATTCAAAAAGCAAAAAATTGCACTAAGAAAAAAATGTCGGTCATTTTAATACACTACAGGTACAGTAGAGAGCGCCCTCTAGCGGCTACAGTAAAACTATGCCCATGGTTCGTTTTGTCGTACCAAAAAACCCTTGTATACCAATTTTCACTGTTATACATCAAATATTGTTCGAAATATTTAAAAAAAACTATTTTAGAAAGTAAATTTAAACATCCAGTATTTCGGAAGCCACGCATTTTTCGACCCATGTTTATATAGACTTTATGCATTAATTTTGAAAGTTCTATCGAATCTTAAAGTTATGCAACAATAAACTGAAACACCCTATATATATATATATATATATATAGTGTAATCTCTAGATATGTATTTGTCTCGTATTTACTGGCTTTTCTGATTGGAAATGAGCCGTTATCGCTACCTTTCCATGACTTTTTCTTCATCCTGTACAGTACCAAGCAAAAGTGGAGAAACGTTTTATTTTTTTATAGATTTTATTAAACTATTAAAGTAAACTAAACACTTATGTTTTATTATAACTGAATGTAACATGTAATTCAAAGCAAACATGAAAATGAAGTTTCTGCTTTGATACAACTATGCTAACAATTATTATTAGAAAATTCAGCGAGCAAAAATAGAGAAATATAATATACAAAGCAATTGTCGTATACAAATAAGCTAATACTTGGTTGCATAACCTTTATTTTTGATAGCTGCTACACACCTTTTTCTCATAGAACCAATTAGGCTACTGTTTCTTTTGGAATAGAATTCCAGGCGACTTCGATTGTTTCAAATAGTTGGGCATTATTTTTTTACTTTTCTGGATGTTCAGTCCGAATTTTTTTATCAGCTAAATCCAATAGGTTCTCTATGGGGTTAAGGTCTGGACTCTTGAGCTGACCACTTAATGACATTAATATTGTGATCTGCAAAAAATGTTTTTATTATTTTCGCTGTGTGCTGGAACCGCCAGCGTAGAGGCATGTTTCCTCCTGCGTAAGGTAGCATATTATCAGTTAATATTTCCAAGTATTTGTACCGGTCCATAATTCCTTCAATTTTGACGATGGGTTCCATTTGAAGACCACAGAAGCAACCCCATACTTGAACCTTCTCGCCTCCGCGTTTCATTGTGCCCAAAGTGAACTTAGGATCAAATCGCTTGTTTTTAGTACGTCTGACCCATAAAATGCCATCCGATGAAGATACATTAAATTTACTTTCATTGGAAAATAATGCAGAATTCCACCTTGCTTCTGACCAGTTCAACTGATCTTCAACTGATTTTTAGATGGTCTCCTTGCTGGTAAATCACTCTCCCTTAACAGTGTGGAAATAAATATTTATTTATATTTAAGTAGTAAATGGATTTTTAAGTGCAAGTGTTTTAATTTTCCCATCAATCCTAGGTGTGTTTTTTCGCGGTCTAACAGTCTTAGTAGGGCTTACCAACGATTTTCTGAGACGGAACAGCTTAATAGTTTTGCAAATTACCGATCGGCTAAATTCAGCTGGTTGGCTATGGTTGCTTGTTTAATGCCTGATCGATATTTTAAAATAATTAATTCTTTTATTTGCAAATTCAATGCAATTCCTCTGGCCATGTTTTTGAACTACACTTTACCAAATACACTAAAAAATAACACCTATTCAAATCAACGACTAAATATAAACTAAATATTTACAAAATGTTTCTCTACTTTTGCTCGTTGAACAAAGAACCGACCATATTATATTGAAAAAAAAGGATGTATACAAAGATAAAAAAACTTTAGTGGTTTTGGGTTAGAGTGAATGTTTCTGGATTTTTATTTGGAATGTGGTTTATTTCTCTACTTTTGCTCGGTACTGTATATTCAAAAAGTTAGGAGCCGATACACTTTGTTATAAACAAAACATTGGTCTACGAAAATAAAAAGTTTGTCAATTTTGGCCTGACAAACTAGCTTTAAAATAAATTAATCTATAAATACTCTTCAAGGTCTTGTAGGGAAAAAATTTAATTTAGATACTTGGCAACCTCAGAAATAATCTTTAACCGAATTATTAATCATTGAAGATGGCCATTTTTATGAGTTTTCAGACATTAAATGGTACAGTGGAGTTAAGTGTAAGTAGGCGTCTGGCAAAACTCCGCTTCCCTGATGTGTTTCAATAAATTCCTTTAGGATTATTATAGCTCGAAACCGACAAACTTTAGAGAAAAGTTACTGATACAGTAAAAATGCGTCAATTTTTTTTTTGTAATCACTTAAACGGGGACGAGATGAAAAAATGGACCGGACTATTATTATTCTTTGACCCCTTCTCCGTTGGAATCTGTTTATAAACATTTTGAAAACTCAATTATAGGCTGCGTATTGGATGTGCAACATGAGATTAAAACAGAGGAATTGAAATATAAACGAAAATTTAATAAGGAAAATATTAACACTATTATAGCTGAACTCTACGGAAAAGATTGGGACTATTCAACAACAGATGTGGACCTATTATATGAAAAGTTTATGAAAAATATTACAGAAACTGTAAATAAAGTTGTACCTCTTGAAAACACTCAAACCCGCAAACAACCGTGGATAAATAGGTTCGTAATCCAAGCCCGAAGAGACAGGGATGAAGCTTATAAAAAGTTTAAAATAACCAAATTAAATTCAGACTGGAATCTGTATAAGAAAAAAAGGAACATTTACGCTCGTGTTATTCGAAACGAAAAGAAAAAATATTATGAAATTACTATTGACCAATGCAAGGGGGATAGCAAAAAAATGTGGCAAACTTTAAAGCAAGTTGTAGGCAGCAAAAACAAGAATGTTCTGTCATATGATAATATTGAATTTGAGGAAGATGCTGGATCTGTTCAAGACAATTTTAACAATTTTTATGCAAAAAGCATAAAGGAAATAGCCGACAAAATACCAAAAGTTGCACCGACATTTCAAGAATTGCCACAGTTAAGTGATGGTCTGTCAAGCTTCAACACTATAAGCATTGATCAACTTAGAAAAAGGGTAATGGAACTTAAAAACAAGTCAACAGCGGATGATATTTGTACTGTTAAGTTTTTGAAAGCGGCTTTTGGTGTACTCGGATACCCTTTACTTCACTTGATCAATGCATCCCTTACAACAGGAAAAGTTCCAAAAGCAATAAAAACTAGTGTTATAGTGCCTATTCCAAAAGTGTCCTCACCAAATAAACCAGCTCAATACCGACCCATTAACTTGTTACCAGTGATAGACAAAATCTTGGAAACCGAGGTTTGTGCGCAGTTACGGGAGTTTCTGGAGGCAAGAAAACTGTTGTTTAAGGGACAGTCGGGATTTCGGGAAAAACACTCGTGCGAGTCGGCGCTGCAGTATGTGTGTTCGAAATGGCGTTCATACATTCATGACGGGAATATTGTGTTAAGTGTATTCATCGACCTTCAACGTGCATTTGAGACTATTGATAGGAAAAGACTGATCCAGAAATTGCAGACCTATGGGATTACAGACAGTGCACTAAAATGGTTTATGAACTACTTGAAAGACCGTTGTCATGTGACGAAGATTAATAACGTGGCGTCAAATTCAATTGATAGTGAAATTGGGGTACCTCAGGGTAGTGTGTTGGGCCCGCTTTTGTTCCTACTTTATATAAATGACTTGAACAGGGTTTTAGTAAATACATTTCTGAGCTTATTTGCAGACGATACATTGCTTTATGTGTACGGTAAGGATTTTAGACAAGTTGTAGATAGTATGAACTCAATACTGGAAATTCTGTATAACTGGTTATGTGTGAATAGGCTTAAGTTGAATGTAGAAAAAACAAAATACATGGTTTTTGGGACAAAGCAGAACTGTAATACATTTTTAGAAAAGAAATTTTGTATTGAGATAGATAATATTCAAATTGAAAGTGCATCTAGTATGAAGTATTTGGGCGTAGTTTTAGATCCTCAGCTAAATTTTTCATTGCATGTTGATTATGTTAGTAAAAAAATTGGGAAAAAAATAGGATTTTTTAGGCGAATATCTGAAAGTCTTAGTCACTGGAGTCGTCTTCTTGTATATAATACCATCATATATCCACATTTTAATTATTGTTTTTCATTGTTGCTATCATGCAAAAAAACTGATATTCAAAGGCTCCAGTTACTACAAAATAAGGCTATGCGCACTATATTATTTTGTACACGTTATACGCCTATTAATTTAATGTTAAAAACCCTCGGATGGCTTTCAATACAGCAAAAGGTTGAAATGTCAAATGTGTTATTTATTTTTAAAACAAAAAATCATTTATTGCCTGAATACTTGCAGGAATATCTAATACCGAGGTCCGAGAGGCATGCATATAATATCAGGTCACGTAACACTTTTGACATAGAATTCGCTAGAACATCCCATATGCAAAAATGTCTTTTTAGTGATGGTTTGAGACTTTTTAATGCTTTACCTACAGAAATTAGAGAAGCGACGTCTGTAAATATATTTATTCGTAAGGTTAAGCAATTGTATTTAGATAAAATGGCATAATATATGTACTTTCTGTGTTAAGATAACTGTATGTCATTATCTCGCATTTGCTATTGTTGCATTTACTGTGGTTGCAGTTACTATGATTTTAAGGGAATCTAGAATTACTGTTTTTTTGTTTATTACTGGAGTAAGACACTATTATAAACTATAGGAAGTAGCTTTAGGGCTAAGAATAATAAACATTTCATTTCATTTCATTTCATTTCATTTCATTTCATTTCATTTCATTTCATTTCAATTCCATCCAGCGCTTTGTAATATTTGTATTTTATAACCTCTCGTTCATTAGCTACAAGCGAGGCTGAAACATATGACTGAACTTGACCATGAAACGATCATCAATCACTGTCCGGTTCTACACCTATGTCGCGTTGAAAAAAAATCCCAGACTTGTTCGAATCGATACACTTTTAGATACTGATCTCGATAGCCTTCGCAAAAGACGTGGCCGGCAACTGACTTGATACTTAACTCAGTTCCATAACGTAGTGCAGAAACTCCGGATATAGTCAACAGTTCTTCACCTGATTCGATAACAATCGCGATGATATTCGAATTGAATGGATCCCGGATCTCATCAAAGGTCATTTTAAAGCTTGAAATGCATTTATTTGTGTTCGTTAAATGGTCACTATCGCTATCCATAGTTACAGGCCAGGAATTTTTTGCTACAATTTTGATGACAGTATTTTTTTGGTGGTATCGTTAGATTATTGTTTTGCTAATGATCAGCTCAAATTTACGTCATGCTGATCGAAAATCCTATCTCCTATCCCTATATAGCCCTAGATTCTTAGTTTAACCATTATAAGCAGAAATATCGTTGCAAGTACCTTTACCCTATAATTTCTCGTAATTTGTTGACTATATACGACATATTTTTACATACATGAATTTATGCGCAATCGCTCTACTATTTCTAACTTAACTGAAATCACCCAGGAAATTGCAGACGTCTTCGATAAGATTAGTCACCAAAGAATCATAGGTAAACTTCAGCATTTTGGTTTTAGCAATCATTTATTAGATTTCATTTCTTCTTACTCGCATGATAGAAATCAGTACGTTTCTTATAATGGTTTCAAATCTTCACCTTACTTGGCCTCATCCGGTGGTGTACCGCAGGGATCAAATTTAGGTCCTCTTCTCTTTCTTTATTTTATCAATGACCTCCCTAATTGCTTAACCTGTCCTTCTCTGTTGTTTGACGATGATTTAAAAATATATGCTTTTATTATCAGCATTGATGACTGTCTAATCTTGCAAGCTCACCTGAATCATATATTTGAATGGTGTTCAACTCATAAATTATTTTTGGATGTTAGCAAATGCAAAACCTGTTCTTTTACCAGGAAAACGAATCCAATAGTTTTTGATTACACACTGGAAGGTGTCAGTTTGGTGCGTTGTTCAGAAGTAAGAGATCTACTACCGTCCCGCATTTCCCGAAGATTTCTCGCTTTTTACTTAAAACACCAAATTCTAATGCTATGATCAAGTCACCCGTGTACTTTATGTGCTCCAGCTTTAACACCATAGCTGATAATTGTGACATTCATCATGATAAAGTCAAAGATATATTAGCTGTATTCAGCGACTACTACTATTCAATTTATATCATTTAAGACATGTAGGTGAGTAGGTGCAGCTATTAATTTTTTTCTTTCATTTTTTTTTCAGAAACTGGGCGAGCTATGCTTGTAGTTAAAAATACTGTAACATCAAATTGTATTCAATTACATTGTACTTTAAATGGATGTATCTGTTGGGCAATAAATATATTATTATTATTGTTTTGCTAATGCTAAGCTCAAATTTACGTCATACTGATCGAAAATCCTATCCATATCCCTTTATAGCCTTAGATTCTTAGTTAAGCCATTATTAGCAGAAATATCATTGCAAGTACCTTTACCCTATAATTTCCCGTAATTTATTGACTATATACGACACATTTTTATAGAAGCAAAACGATGAAGAATTCAATTCTATACAGAAATGTTTCTTTTACTTTTTAGGACATATGATTTTCGAGATTTTCGGTCAAACGCTTTTATCAAAATGGCTGCAAACGCACGGCAGGGTTATTACGTAAAAAACCTATATAATATAAAAAAAACGCTAAAATATCAACTTGTTCACTAGATAGCTGCCATTGTGCAAATAGTTCATTTTCTCTCTATTCAGTTCAGCTTGAAGTGAACGACACCTTTTAAGAAAACCTAAATACTGCCATAAAAAACCGACGTAATGTCACTTTTCAAATTACGTAATACCCCTGCCGGTTGCAATACCACCAAAATTACTGTCCCCCAAATTTGTAGGATTACCATTTACAAAATATTCCTATTTATTATGTTATTACATAGCTATAGTTGAAGAAAAATGGTGTTAAGTATTCTGAAAACTATTGTAAACATCTGCGATTTTTAGCAATTACACTTGTTTGAAGGTGAATGCTACTTGCATTGGCTTTAGGGCAATCTCTATTTGACATTTTGAATTTGTATATATACATTTTCCGACAAAGAATTTTGATGACAACTAAATGAATTCGAAGAAACTTGAAGAAAGTTTTTCACAAAAAGATGGAATATTACCGATTTAATTACTCGTATTATCGCTTCGAATGAAATTAAAAGTGGTTTATTTTAATGAAAGCGGAAAAGGAACTTTCTCTCAAATAACGTTCACGGGAACTTTTTAGTATCTGGTTTCAACAAAAGAAGTGTAACAACATTTATAAAATTCCTCAATTCCTGATTATGTTTGCGTTTAGTCAAAGTCGTTGGCACTTTTCAGTTGTCTTAATGCTATGAGAAGGATTGACTTAAGAAATGCCGCTCATTGATTTTCAAGTGGTCAACATCCAAGAGCTACAACCATGCCTCTTCACTTCATTATTCTATAAGTGCTCTATTTATAATGCCATTTTGCGATGCATTACCACTGCCTACGAAGCTTCTGAACGTCAACGAGTTAAAAAAAAAGTCTAAAAATCATTTTTGAACAACAAATTTAAAGACCACACACACATAAACATGAACTATGCAGGTTCTTTTCAAACATAATTTTGATATGATCGGTGGATTTATACCTATGTGATATTTATATAATAATAAAAATCCTTTATTTTCATCTGGCGGACAATCAGCAAATTAATGCTGTTCTTCCGGGCCAACCAGGGTTGTATACAGTGATAAAAAAGTACATATTTTATCACAATATTATTAAAATAGAAAAAAATAATTTACGCGTTCTTTTCTATTTATATATTTTTGTTAAGGGTAAAGCTATAAGCTAACTTCGCCCTAAAGATAGACGATTTCTTATCATTATATTTTCTTTTGTTACAGATACCAGCCGTATCATAGGCTTCACCAGCCTCAGCATTTTCATACGACACCGCTTCATGAGCTGCACACGTTGCAGCACAGGACGGCGTACCAAGAGTCGCAGGTAATTTATTTTTTGATATTTCCCAGGAAAAGTAGCACTGGAAACTACAGAACTTAAACGGTAATTATGAGGGATATTGAGATTTACTCGAGGGCAGCACATTAATATAAGGAGAGAAACCTTATATTCTGTTAAGTATCTTTACCATATACAGGGTGTCTCAAAAGTTATGGAGCAAACGAAAGAGAACGATAGGGGGTCATTTGCATTTCCCGGCATTTGTGGAGAATCGCTACTTTTGAGACTGTACTATTTTTTTCTGAAGTTGTCTTTTGTTATTCTTCAATCAGATTTACAGGACATATTCCCAAATGATGTGACGTTCGAAAAAAGCAAGGAGTGAAAATTTAGTTTGGTTAATATACAGTATTGGACAAAAGTATAGACAAATATGAATATTTGCCTAAATATCTTTAGAAAACGAATTCATACTTAATTGCTCGATAAACAACTGCCTTATTAGTAGAAAAACTAAAATCCTTGTTTTTACATTGTCTGCATTGAACACAATACAAGTCTGAATATAAGACTTTTTTATGACGGACAAAAATACGTAGACAAATTATTTTCAACATTAGTTTAGTACAGTTTCGTGTCAGAAGAGGATTAATTTGTGTTCATCAAGTATTGTGGAAGAGTATACAAAATGGTGCAGGTACCCTATTCACGGAAATTCCCATTTTTCAACTTAACCTTTTACCTGTATTTGATGATCTTCTACCGTCTAAATATTACTGGGAAACAATTGAGTGAAATAAATCCTCAAATTCAAAGAAACACCAGGTCTTATTAGTGTAAGAATGTAAAAGGATTATGGAAATCTCTCCATATTACCCGACCAATACGTAGACAGGTAGACGAAACCAACATCCGTAGCACGCGGTACTTGTCACAGGAATATGCAGAAGTGCATTTCATTTATGGATTGTGCAATGGAAATGCTCGAGGTACTGTCAAAGAAAATCGAAACCGATATCTCCGCAGGGCAAATTTTCCAGACCATCGTACATTTATTCATGTAGCTGGCGCCTATGTAGCAGGCGAAATGCCTAGGACCAGAATTATCCGGCATTGGAGTTCCTCAGGACTCAATACTCGGACCTATGCTATTCATAATTTACGTAAACGATTTCAACAGCAACAAATTTGTTATGTATGCAGATGATATGTCTCTCTCAATACATGCTACCACAGTGGTGAGGTTTGTCCGTTTCATGTATAAATTGGAATCTGATCACAGCTTACTAATTAAATCACATCAAGGAACAATCTAAGAGCAAAAATGCAAAAACCGATAAATCCATTTTTTGTAGTTCTGAGAAAAACGGCAAAAACCTCTCTAGAGAAAAATCCCTGTCAGATTTAAAACTTTTTCAAATGCCATTTTTCATGAGGATTTAGCGGCTTTTGCTCGTATCTGCCTTCAAAAACGGATAGAGCATATCGAAATTAACCGAATTCCATGCTTAACTCAAAAATAGTAAAAAATGGATTTATCGGGTTTTGCCTTTTTGCTCTTCAAGCAATGCCAGTCAGTGAATTTTCTTGGACTTCATCTATCTTATAACTGTATATGGATCACATAGGCAATAACTCCAGTGGGGTATTGCATCAATAGACTCCGGCTTATAGTTGTCCTATTAATGTACGACTTTTCCTACTATAATCTATGGTATAATAAGCTTGAGGGACATCTTATCTAGCAAATGGGGTTTTTATTATTCCTGAGAGGATTATAAGATTAATGGCAGAGGTAAACAGGTTGATTAGTTTTAGAGAGGTTTTTAAAGAGATGGAAATTTTATTCTCATCAGGTATATATTTAAGAGGTATTGGATACAACTCAAAACAAATTTGAGATTTCGTATTCTGATAATTATAACCAAAATACTAGGAATCTTTAACACTGCAATTCCCTGCTCACAGGCTTGCCAAAACCGAAAATGATGCTAACTATATGGACATAAAGGCGGTACTGTTGCGTCTTGTAGAACTTCGGATTTCACTGTTCTTTCACTTGAAACTTATAGAGGGTAGTATGATAAATTATTTTACATCTTAAAAAGTGTGGATGAAGCACGCTTTTTATTAATTTTTTTCCTCAAAACACTGTATTTTTTAGCAGTTATTTCTCCCATTATTTCCACCGCCATCTACCATATGACGCTGACGTCTGGATATGTCATATATGAGAGACGCTTGCCTGCGGTGTTGCCGGATTGGGTTCCGTATTTAGGGAAAATATGAAAAGTGGAAAATTTATATACATTTATATTAATGAAACACAAAAACAAAAAACTGAAACAAACAACAGTAGTAAAATTAAAGGTGATTCTTACTAAGTATAAAACAAAAAATAACAAACAGCAGTAAAATAAAAAGCAAGTCTAAGTGATTATAAAAAACTAAAAATTAAAACATTAGTAAAACAAAAAACAATTCCATTTAATTATAAAAAAAAAAACTAAAAATAACAAACAGTAAAATAAAAAACAATTTGGATGGAATGAAGTTGTTCTTCGTTTTACTACTGTTTTTAATTTTTGTTTTGTGTTGTCACTTAGAATTGCTTTTTAAACATGGAATTGATTTTTTTGTTTTGCTACTTTTTATTTTACTGCTGTTTGTTATTTTTTGATTTTTATAATTACATGGAATTAGTTTTTATTTTACTACTGTTTTGTTTTTCATACTTATTTATAATTTAGCTTTTTTTAGCTGTTATTTTTTGATTTATACTCATTAGGAATCGCCTTTTATTTTGCTCTGTTTTTCGTTTTTGTGATTCATTAATTAATATTCATATGTATATAAATTTTCAACTTTTCATATTTTTCCCTAAATGCGGAGCCCAATCCGGCAACACCGCAGGCAAGCGCCTCTCATATATGACATATGTACAGACGTCTACGCCATATGGTAGATAGGTGGCGGTGAAAATAATGATGGAAAGAACAGCTAAAAATACAATGTTTTGGGAAAATTTGTTCATGAAAAGCGTGCTTCATCCATACTTTTTTTATTTCTAAACAATCAGACTACGCTCTAAAACTTTTAAGAGGAAAAACAGTGAAATCGGAAGTTCTACAAGACGTAACAGCACCCATAAAGCTCTACAATAAATCACCTGAGTGGATTAAAAAATTCAACACACGAAGAATTAAAAAATGCTTCAAAAAAAAGCGTGTTATTCTATCAATGAATTTTTCTGTGACACCAGCAATTTTTTACATATCATTTAGTCAAAATTTAAAAAAGTGTTCGATTTTTGAATAAAATTCATGTTTTTATATTATATTGTCGATTGTTTATTCATGTTTATATTATTTTCTTCAATTGATATGCGATTTTACTGGTTCAACATCACCTACCGTGTGTTTTTTCCTATAAACCTCTTGCAGATTAAGCACCTACTTGATGACAGGCTCTACCGAAAATTTCATAGATATTGCTCGTTTGCAAACATTCATTCATTTACTTGCCGTTCATCAGTACCATTATAGCATCGTCGATTGATATTCCCACAAAATCATTCAGCACAAATATCCACACTATATTTACAGCGATTAAGAAATACTCAAATATATGTATGTCGTAAAGCTACCGACAAACTTAAAAGCTGCAAAAAAATAGAATTTGCAATATCTTTCTTGTTTCACTGAGTACACATTCTAGGTTATATTTATATTAGACATTATTTGAATAACCGCTGATTACACTGGACCACAAATTTTAGTTTTTTAATTGTGGGAAAAGTGCACTTCTTTGTTAATTTTGGGGCGCTGAATCCAAAAATGACAATGAAATAAAAAAATTAGTTGCGGTTTAGAAAAAAAACTTTTTATGTTTAAGGATATATTAAAAAAAGTAACAAGATTCATATACTTATAAGAATCACTATATGCTCTGTCTTTTTGCTGTTCTTTTATGGATCGTTTCTGGAGCATCTCTACCAAGAGTCCAACAGTAGTCTGCAAGCATGGAAGGATTCCACTTTCCCTGGTACCTTTTTTCCATTGTTGAAATATCCTGATGAAAACGTTCGCCGTGCTCATCACTTACGGCTACGCAATTGTCAGGAAAGAAGTCCAGGTGTGAGTGTAGGAAATGTATCTTAAGAGACATATTACAGCCTATCTTTTGATACGATGACAGCATATTTTTGACAAGGGTTTTATAGTTGTCAGCTTTTCTATTTCCCAAGAAATTAGTGACCACCAGACATAAATCATTCCAAGCAGTTTTTTCAATACCTGTTAAAGTGTTTTCAAACTGTGTATCTTTCAAAATATTTCGAATCTGTGGCCCAACAAAAATACCTTCTTTAACCTTTGCCTCACTTAGTCTTGGAAATTTCTGACGCAGGTATTGAAAAGCTGACCCATCTCTATCTAATGCCTTGACAAAGTTTTTCATTAGGCCCAACTTGATATGCAGTGGTGGTAATAAATTTTTTTTCGAATCTACTAATGGCATATGCTGTACATTTTTTTCACCTGGCTCTAGGAATTGACGAACAGGCCAGTTTTGTATGGTGTAATGAAGTGCCTTTGCCCGACTGTCCCATTCACACAAAAAACAGCAAAACTTTGTGTAGCCTAGCTGCAGCCCAAGTAAAAGTGCAACAACTTTCAAATCGCCACAAATATGCCATTGGTGCTCATCGTATTTTATGTATGTCAATAGGTACTTCATATTGCCATATGATTCTTTCATGTGAACTGCATACCCTACAGGAAGAGATGGTAAAATATTTCCAATATGCAATAACACTGTCTTTAAACTCAATGTTGAACTGTCTATAAACCAGTGGCGGCCGGTGGCTGTGAGAAATGGGGGGCTATTGTAGGGAAGGGTGGCCTGCCGCAGTCACCGCCGGAGGCAAAGAATTTTTACGGTGCCACGCCCAAAAACTTCCATTTTGAGCCTTCAAATTCAAATATACATTTTTAGAGCTATAATTTTTTTGCATTTTTTATGTCCTGATTTTGTGGATGGATCAGTTGGCAATCCTATACCTATATATTTTATGTACAGTCCTCTGTATAGGAACAAACATATTTTAGGTACGAGAACTTATCGCAAAAGAAAGCAGCATCTAATATGAAAGCAACAGAGCATCTATTATCAAAAGAACAACAGTACTCAAAAGTATAGTTTTTCACTTTCTTACAACACATGTAACTATAAATAACTGGAAAAGAGAACAGAAATACGGTATACCTAAATGTATTATTGTATTATAAACGACTAAGTATACCTACCTACAGCTAGAGCAAACATTGTGTTTCAACTGTCACACTTCACACTTCTATTTATTACAAAATATTTTTTAATGTTTATATGTAAAGTCTAATCTTCTGTCTTTCTGTGAAATAAAATGTTCCATCACTTTTTCGTCGAAATTGCTGATATTATGTACCAGATTCTTATTAACAGACATCATTGCCAATGCATTCAGTCGTTCATTGCCCATCGAGTTTCTTAAAAACGATTTTATCCTCTTAAGGGTTGAGAAACAGCGCTCTGCTTCGGAAGTTGACATGGGAGTAGTTATAATTATTTGCAACAACTTAGTTACTTCGCTAAAAGTTTCCTCTAGGTTGTTATTAGTCAATAGGGACAGCAAATTCAAACCACCTGTAATATTTTTGAAGTCTTCCCTCATGTACATTACTTCTAATTCGGTTTTCAGTTTTTCTTTATTTACCATTGGATAATAAGTCACAACTGAATTCAGTATTTTTGCTGGAAAATATCTCGAATAGTTTGTGAAGTTTTGTGTATCTAATAAAGATGCAGCTTCTAGATGACCCCTGTAAGAAAGTCTCTCTTTTGTCTGTACAATTATTATATCGCAAACTTCTTTTGCAATAATACAATTTCTTTCTTCGGGTCCTACTTTTCTGCGTTTATTTCCATTGTCTCCATGCTCATTTTCAACAGTTTGCTGTATATCCTCTGTAGTGTCCCTAATCAATACAATGGCCTTCTCAAATACGTCAATATCTTTTAAAAGTTGTACACTGTCTTTATTCCTACTTTGAAACTGGTTAAACAAAATAGCTACGTGCGGTAGGGTTTTGTGAAAAAAAGTCAAAAAAAAGATGAAATCAGAATCTTCAAGTGCTCTTCTTAAACCGTATGCCTCCTTACTAGTAATTGTTTTATCACATTTATTCTCTAACTCCCGGAAACAATCAATAAGACTTTCACGGTTCTCAAAAACGGCACTGACTGTGCGAATGTTATAATTCCACCGTGTTGGCGCAACCTTTGGCATTTTGGTTTTAACTATTTTTTCCAATAAATCGCATCTGTGCGTGGAGTTGGAGAAGAAACTTGGAATTGCCGACAGGTTTGAAAAAAACACTTTTACTTTTGGATTTTGGCTGGCTGCTCTCTGCATAATTAAGTTCAGTTGGTGAGCGTAACAGTGTATAAAATGAGCGTTCTGATATTTTTGTTTGATTTTTGTTTGAACTCCACCACTGCTACCGCTCATTACGTTTGCACCATCATAAGTTTGCGCAATTAATTTGTGGGGTGAATCTTTTAATAATGGGCCTAGTTCTTCTTCGATACACTTTGCCAAACCTTCAGCTGTCTTGTCCGTAACGCTCAAAAAACGCCAAAATCTTTCTTGTATTTCACCTTCATGGAGATATCTAAATATCATTACCATTTGACAATGATGTGAAATATCTGTTGTTTCGTCGCACTGTATAGCTAAAAACTCTGCTGCATTAATTTGCTGTCGAATTTCTTGTTGGCAGACTTCTAACATACTATCTAGTATTTCATTTTGTACTGTTTTAGAAGTACCCTTAAACAGAGTCGCACTTTTTAAATGTTCCTTTAATATTGTATCCAGTTCGAACGTAAAACTCTCGAAAAATGCCACGATTTTTAGAGTCTTCACTTTCGTCGTGCCCTCTTAACGCTAATTCCAATTTACCGCAAAACTTTATACAGTTTATTATTCTTTTTGAAAGATATCTATTTTTGTCCACTTGCTCGTTGTGCTTAATAATATTTTGCCTGTAAGCGGAATCTAACTGAGCAGCGATACTAGCTGTTCCCAATAAAGCTAATTCTGTCGAACAAATCATGTGACGAGCCGAATTTTCATGCTTACTAATTTTCTGGTTTATATGCTTTAAATCTTTAAATCCAGTTCTTGTCCATGTCTTTTCCGCTGCATCTGAATAAAACAGTAAGCACGGAAAACAAAACAGGGCGTTTAATGTGCCACAACCGCATATCCATTTGTTTTTGTTATAGATATCTTTCTTAAAATGTCTCTTAAAACAACCAGGCCTTCCAAGGGATTTTATTATTATTTTTTCAGCAAGCGGAAGCCGAGAAAATTCACCTTTTAACAAATTTTGTACTTCATTTGCCATTTTAAACTTTTTGAACGCCCGAACGACGGCACGGGGACGCGACGAAGCGATTTCGTACACACGTAAATCGGGACTGGCTAAAAATTATTTCGCCAACTCGCGTGTTAAAATCCCGTATAAAACTCGTAAGCGCGTGGGAGGTATGACGTAGCGAGCCACTCAATCAGGTCGGCGATCGCGGCAAAAATTATTCTAGCCTCGAATCGATAGGGAATCTAGCTCGCGACTTCGGGGTATTGGGATCGGATAATATATATATATATATATATATATATATATATATATATATTGCGTGTTGCGTAACTGGCTACTATTAAAATTCAGGTTTTGATTGAATTTTCGTATATATCTGGAAATTATTTAATCACAAAATCATATTTTAAATTTTTTGTTAATTCGCATTTTGTCTTGGGGGGCTGTAGCCTTTTCGCCCCTATGGACCGGCCGCCACTGCTATAAACAATCTCCATTCTTCTGGGTTATAGTTTCTATTTAAAGCCGCCAGTAAGCCGTTAATGTTACTGCAGAAAACCAAATTATTCTCCATATTGAAAAATGGTTCTAAGTCTTTGTGGCGTTTACGAAAAACACATACCGAAACATCGTCTTCTAACAAGTTCCACTTCTGCAGTCTTGATCCAAGTAACTCTGCCTTACATTTTGGAAGTTCTAAATCTCTTACAAGATCATTTAATTCTGACTGTGTTATTTTGTGCGGTTGGTGGCATGACGTGCTCGGTATAAAATCAGGATCTCTTGACGTTGATGGCATATCTTCTTCCTGACGAATCACTCGATCGCCATGATCTGATTCGTTTTCTGATTCGCAAGTGTAGGATTCTGGGAGTTTTGGAATAGGATTTTCGTCACTGTGAGGCACAGGTCTCATCGCAGATGGTATGTTTGGGTAGTTAATTACCGATTTTTTTTTCTTGGACATACCTGTGGCTTGTCCAACACAAGGTACCATGCAAAAGTAACAATCATTAATATGATTTGTAGGCTCTCTCCAAACCATTGGGACAGCAAAGCGCATAGACCGTTTTTTGCCATTTAACCAGCTCCTCAGACTTGAAGCACATGTATTACAGCAGATGTGGGGTGCCCACTGTTTGTCTTGATCACCTAGTTTACAACCGAAATCTAGCTGATATGCCTTTGTTATTAGTGGGGTAATAGACCGTCTCTGAGACGCAAAAGTCACATAACCACACACGTAACAGAACTGATCTGGATTGTTTATACACTTTCGAGACATCTTGCATGAACGCTGTCAGCCAACTGAGGAAAAAATGGCTAATATAGAACAATATAATGTACACGTATGTATAACGTAACACAATCATGCCGATTACATCATATTTCCTTGCCGAATATAAAAATGTAGCTCGTGCATTCTTGTGAATTACAGTATATTAACACTGTCACAGCAGGAACACATATAATTACCGTATCTCTAAAACTTGAAATAATATTGAAAAAATAAGTTTCATTCCGGTTTTAGCACATTAAAAATAGTAATATTTTGTTGATTTTATTTAGGATATTTTTTGGCTGTTGATCAGTGTTATTACATTTTAAAACTCCCCAACGAGTGACACATGTGTGGGATCCGTCAACCCTTGGTTCCAGTGGAGTAAGCATCGCCAACTGTTGAAATATACTCTACTATGCTTTATAAGACTATACGTTGCACAACATTTGAAAAAATGCAAAAGGACATTTAAAATTATTTCCATGACGCCGCAAAATAGCTCCGTCGGGTTATACATCTTGACAGTAGGGATGTTCGATACGATCCTACATTTAGAAGTATCGATACTTTTGCTTGCCATACCCGATATTTTGGATCAATATTTTTATATACGACACTTGGGTGTATCGATACATTTCACGAGTAACGCCATCTTTCGATCCGGACTGTGCCAGAAAGAGTGACTAACTTCTGATTACTTTTCTTCTTTGTTGCCTTCCGCTGGATATCGATAATTTTATTCCAATATTTTAGAGTATTGATACTTCCTAAAACGATAAGAATCGATACTTTTCGTGGATCTAAACATCCCTAATCTTGACAGCTTGTCGTTCTTGTACTATCTTACAGTTTGCTAAAATCTTATGACAAATAAAAGTTTCAAATGAAATATTGACGAATATGGACGGATATGCATAGAATTTAGAATATAAATTCATATTGCAAATTTCAGATTGTCTATACATGAACTTGAACCTGATTATATTCGGTATTTTTACCGAAAAGGCAACTATTTTTTCACGACCTTATTGAACATTTCAATGACATTTCACTGACATTCAGAGATCTTTGACAGCTTCCGTCAAATTGCATTTCGATAAGGTCTTTTCCTATTGGTCCAAGGGACCGTTAAATATTAATGTTGGTGAAATTGGCAATAAAAATACTATTACTAAATTAGTTTATACATCGTAGTTTCCAGTGCTACAAGTATCAGTCGTCCTAGCCCTAAATCCCGTAATACACTCAGCAGTCCCTTTTTTACCCGCAGGATATCCAGCAGGATTCCGACGTAGATCGAGGTAAAACGCACATCTCATGCCTTTACCCGGAGATCCTAGCCATCATCTTCAGCTACCTGGACGTGAGGGACAAGGGCCGAGTGGCCCAAGTGTGTACGACGTGGCGGGATGCGGCCTACAGGAAGAGCGTATGGAGGGGCGTTGAGGCTAAGCTGCATCTGCGAAGGGCCAATCCATCGTTGTTTGCTAGTTTGGTCAAGAGGGGGATCAAGAACGTGCAGGTGCTGTCGCTAAGGCGGTCGCTTAGGGACGTTATACAAGGTGAGTGATGCTTTTTTTGGTGTGTTTCATACAGGGTGTCCTAGAAGCGGTTGCGCGATAAATATTCGAACTAGAACAAAATTTGCATTTTCTAATGAGAGATATCAGATTCTTTACAACACCGAAGAAAAAATATGTGACGAATAACGTTTTTGTTTGTCTGTTATTACATGCTTTTCTAGCAAAAAATACTTATTTTTCTGGTTTTATTATTCCCGTATTTTCTTTTTCTAATATTGATATTCGCAAAATTTCGCGAATGCGGAATTAGGAAGCATGCGAATATTCGTTACATCACTAGTACATATCCGACTACGACGAAAATAAACAATGACGGCTTGATATTCAACTATTTTTCCGCTATATGATGCAGCTTCTGTTTCATTTATTATTTTTAATTATCGACCATCATGGGTCCGGAAACTTTTGAGCGGTAGTGTACGTCGCGAAACAGGGTTGGTAAAAACCCAGATTTTTGCGAAAAAAACAAAAAAGCAGGTATTTTGATTTGTTTTTTTTTTATTTATTTGGTTTAAACAATTTGCGTTTAAACATTGATTGAAACTAATAGAAATTGAAAAAATACATAATTCGACATAATTTATTCTGGCCACCTGTCAAAAAACAGCTTTTCACCTGTTGATCAGTATAGGTTGCAGGTTGACAGCATTATTTGATAAGTTGTAAGCAGGTTTTGCGAAAAATGGTCAATAAAATAATAAAGGCAACTAAACTTATATTTACATAAAAACACAAACATATTGTACAATTTCTTCATTAGTATTCATACGTGAGAATGAGAAAGGAATGAATGTAAGGTCTAACTCTTAAACTAAAACTTGAGATATAATCTAATTAAGAAAACATTACACTCATATAATTTCACTTTGAGTCATCTTCATTATTTGAAAGTGATTTAAATATTTTAAATAAAAAAACTAGTTTCGAAGCCTTTACAGTTTAGTTTGTATTGAGCCAAAAGAAGAAAAACTCTTTCTACACCTGCTGAAGACGCTTGTGCAATGAGTTGTTCAATGATATTGATAATTTTACAATTTTCGTTTTATCAATATCTCAATTTTTATCAGGAGGGTTTATATTGCAAAAGGAGGATTAGGGACACGTTTGGTTTATCGTCTAGAGAGTCATGCAGGTCTTGGTTTAAAGAGCAAAAATCACGCACTCTACCATCAATTTATGTGACTGATAATGAATGCAAAACAAAATTTAACTGAGTTTGTTACAAATGTTAATTTACGCAGTTATGAAGCTAGAAACAGAAACACCCTAGTTTTGCCTGCTCATAAATGTCTTCAAAATATATGGCGACTAAGTTATATAATAAATTAGATGCAAGCGTGAACAGCATAATATTGGGTGATTTTTTAAGAGGTATAGGATTTGATTTTAAAAAAAAAAATCACAAAAAATTTGAAAAAACGATTAAATCTTTATTTCAGTCGTTAGAACGGTCGATATAATTTAATGTTTAAAGATTATTTCATGTAAATGTTGGCCGCGGCTCCGCTTTAGATGGCCCATGCGCAAGGTCCAATTTTGGCACACTCTCTCCAACATATCGGCCGGTATCTCACGAATAAATGCTTCAATATTGGCTTCCAGTGCGTCAATCGTTGCTGGTTTACCCCTGTAGACATTAGCCTTAACATGGCCCCACAAGAAATAGTCCAACGGCGTTAAATCGCACGATCTAGGCGGCCAATTGACGGGCCCCAAACGTGAGATAAACTGTTCACCGAACTCGCCTCTCAATAGGGCCATTGTTTCGTGTGCGGTGTGGCATGTGGCACCGTCTTGTTGAAACCACATGTCAGCCAAGTCCAGCTCTTCCATTTTGGGCAAAAAAAAGTTTATCATCGCACGGTAGCGCTCGCCATTCACAGTTACGTTCCGGCCATTGTCGTCTTTGAAGAAGTACGGCCCGATGATGCCACCGGCCCATAATCCACACCAAACAGTGATTTTTTCGGGATGCATTGGTAGCTCTTGCAATGCTTCTGGCTGGTCTTCACTCCAGATGCGGCAGTTTTGCTTGTTAACGTACCCATTCAACCAGAAATGAGCTTCGTCGCCGAACACAATTTTTCGATAAAAATGTGGATCTTCCTCCAACTTTGCCAGCGCCCATTCACCAAATTGGAAACGTTGTGGGAGGTCGTGTGGCTTCAATTCTTGCACCAGCTGTATCTTATAAGGTTTTACACCCAAATCCTGTCGCAAAATTTTCCACGTAGTGGAGTAACAGAGGCCCCCAATTGCTGCGAACGGCGGCGAATCGACATTTCACGGTCATCACTAACACTGGCGGATACAGCCGCAATATTTTCTTCAGTCCTCACTCTACGTCTGCGGGTTGGTGGTTTAATGTCCAATAATGTAAACTGGGTTCGAAATTTAGTCACAAGCTTCCGAATAGCTCCCTCAGTAGGCCGATCAAATTGCCCATAAATTGGAAGCAGTGCTCGATGCACTCTCTTAACCGAGCATGAATTTTGATAGTAAAATTCAATAATTTGCAAGCGTTGTTCGTTCGTAAGTCGATTCAAAGTTAAATTATAGACCAAACTGAACAAGTTTGACAATGACACTAGACACGATTCACGCGTCATCTGTCAAAAACAGTGTTGCCAAAAAGATACTAGCAAAAAAATCACCCATTAGATATAGGAAAGTTCAAAAGACATATGTATTTTGAAAAAAAAACGCATTTTATTCTTGGATATAAATATATGATACTGATTTTAATCTGTTTGTACATGTGCTACCTATTTCTTAATCTGTTCCATGATTAAAATTGGAATAAATATTATTATCTTTTTCATTTTTTTGGCTTCTCCACCGCTCAATTGTCACTTTTGTAGTTACGCTCCTTTCAAAATATTTTTTTAAATTGAGCATTCTGCTTAACATTTTACGATTATTGGCAACATATAATATCAAAATAAGGTCACAAAATCTGGTGAAAGAGGGTGCATTTAAGGTGCTTAAAACGTGCCAACCCTGTTGCGACGTGAGTAAAGCTGAAACCCGGATACTTCACGCACCAAATTATTGGACTATCAGAAGATATCGTGAGCTGTGGAAACGTACCTATACTCACTTATTTCAAGATAATGTACCAAAGAACTTAACTTTTCAGTACGAGTATAGATTTTTTCATCCGCCGAACGACCCAATCTAATACGTGTACTTGGTCGATCCATATAAACAGATCGCGTAAGTTCCAGGGTTCATGAACTCTAAGGGGGAGTGACATAAAAAAGGGGAATGAGTTATACGAGGGAAGTTGATTTGATAGATTGATTCGTTCACCCTCGTCTGCGGCGAAGTTTTCTTCTTTGGAGTCTCGTTTTTGATTTGTAGAGATAAAGACTGATGCTTTGGCAATTCCTTTATGCAAGTGTTGGTAATAGTTTACGAAAAGTGAATTGTATTTTTTGATAGTTTATTTCGATTATTGAGAAAAAGATGTGACAATGCGTCTAGGGACTTTCAAAGAATAACACGAAACGTTCGTATAAATATGGGCCCCAAAATGCTCCTTCACCAAGGTGAGGTTATAATTCCGAAAACGAAAAAATATATATCTATTTTATTACAATATTTTGTATATGTAGTATTAGTAACATAACCAATACATACAAAAATCTTCGTGCAGAAATTAAGACATTTTGATCCCTCAAAAGGTCCAACGAAAATTATTTACGACATTCACTTTCTTGTTCATCAAAAATGTTTGACGTACGACAGCTATATTTTTTCATATCATTATATACTATCATAAGAACAGAAATGAACACACAAACAATTGAACACACAGTTCAATGTCTAGGTATGTCCTTAAGCCACTCAAAAGTATAATGCTGAGATCATATCAGTATATGGCTCCAAAGCAATTTGATATCATTCCTCCGATTATTATCAAACAAGTACATAACATATACTAAGTGACATATAAATCCGAACACCCAGTTTAAATGGTTTTATTTTAATAAAAGTTGGTGAATGTATTTATCTCACTGTAAATAACAAGTGAAAAAATTTTCAGCCTTATCAGTTGGACATTCCGGTTTTTATATTGCTTTTTTTTAATTCACTAACGCTCTAAAAATGAATATTTCAGCCGCAGTAAAGAATCAACGTTGGCGGATTTTGGTTCTTGACATCCTTTACGATCGGTTACGATGCCTAGAGTACGGAGACCTGTACGATTTCGTCAACTTAGTGAGTTTGATAGGGAACGTATAGTGGGACTTCGGGAAGCTGGACTTTCTTTTCGGGCAATTGCAGTTAGAGTGCAAAGAAGTGTAGACACTGTGGTTAGGTGTTGTCAGGCATGGCTTCGAGAAGGTCGTACGCAAAGAGCAAGGGGCACTGGACGCCGCCGTAGAACAACAGACCGTGAAGATCGCCGCCTAAGATTATTGGCCTTAAGGGACCGTTTCTCCACTACCAGGTCCATTGCAAATGAATGGTTTGCAGAACCCGGAAGACCTATTGGCATGCGAAGTGTTTACCGACGAATGAGAAGTTTTGGCTTGTTTTCATACCGGCCACACGGGGTCCTCCCTTTAACTCGAGAACACCGCCGTAGTCGCCTTGAGTGGTGCAGACAACGGTCACTCTGGGATCAGGAATGGATCAGTATTGTCTTTAGTGACGAGTCTCGATTTTGTTTTGGCATGCACGATGGTCGTGCCAGGGTTAGAAGGCGACGTGGTGAAAGGAGGAATCCACAGTTTTTTGTTGAAAGACATGTTCATCACACTGTTGGAGTTATGGTTTGGGGTGCTATAGCTTATGGTTCCAGGTCACCTTTAATCTTCATCAGAGGTAACATGAACGCGCAGCGTTATATCCACGAAGTTCTAGAACCCCATCTTTTACCCTATCTTGACACCCTGGCAGATCCAACTTTCCAACAAGATAATGCCCGACCACATGTTGCAAGAGTCACAATAGACTTCTTTCAACATAAT